GTCCTCATCCTCGAAGAACTCCGGATCATCTTCCAAGCCGCGAGTGGAAAATCGCTCCAGAAGCATTTTAAAGGGGGCAGAGAGAGGATCGCCACTTTCAGACAAGAACCACCTTAGATGGTTTAGGAAGTTTAGGGTTTAGGGTTTAGGGCCTAGCGTTTAGGGTTTAGGGCTTAGGGTTTAGGGTTTAGGGTCTTAGATGGTTTAGGGCTTAGGGTTTGGAAGAAGACAGCGCAACTCAAGGGCTCGTTCCCCTACGCGCATCCGGCGCAGGCATGTGCCATCCCGTGCAAGCCGTTCCAGAAAGCTTGCAGAAACGAGGCGCTCTTCAATGAGCCAGAGCGGTGCTGTGTCGCTGGCTTTGATCTTCTTGGCCTTGCTTTTTCGAGGTGCGACTCGCTGCGAAGGTGAGGGACATCACTGATCCATGTTCTGCATTATCTCAACTCCATGGCACCTCCTGGTACGGCAACCTGCAGCAGGCACTGTTGACCACACGCTCGAAAAGGCATTTTCCCAGCTGTTGGCGTGCGCTTGGCCTTGGTTGTCACAGCAAAGATTGCAAGCATAAGTTGGCATGGGCTCGGTAGCATATGCAGAAGTACCGGCCAAGCATGTCACACGCACGGACAAAAGCATGCCCAACTACAGGTGGCAACAGTATCTCCTGATAGTGGCGAAACACGTATGCAACCTGCACCCCAACAACCCTAAACCCTAAGCCCTAAACCGTAAACCGTAACAACCCTAAACCCCAAGCCCTACACCTACTCGAACCATCAAGGTGAAGCTCTGATCCGTGGTCAAAACTCAGCATCCAGGGCTCTTCGGAGCAACGCAGGGATTGTCGAGGAGGGCGAAGGCGGCAGCAATGCCGTAGCAAAACGACGAGATCCTTACCACCACAGAGGCACGAAACACTTTGAATCCTACTCATGCAACTGCAGATGCAGCGCAGCAATACTGCCTGAAATAATGAAGCTATCTCATACGTATCTGTAAAATATAAGACAATACAACGCAATAAATCGAATACAATACCATACAATACAATACACTACAACGCAGTGCTATACAATCCAATACAACACAATACGATGAGATACAGCACGATCTACTCTTATTTAATGTAATGTGATATAAGGCAGTATATTCTAATGTAGTGTATATCACATAACAAGAATATTATCATGCTATGTGATATACTGTAGTAATATATATGTTACAGTATATTACATGTTATAATATAATATCACATGATATAATACGACATAACCTAACAGGACATAACATAGCAGAATAGAATAGAACAGAATGCAATACAATATTCTACAGCATGGTGGGATATAATATAATATGGTATTATATAGCATGGCAAAATATAACATAATGTAATGTAGTGTAGGATGTTGTAAAAAAATACTGTGTAGTATAATGTAAGAAGATATGCCAAAATTTGATGTAGTAACATGTAATGTAATGTAACCTGAAGTAGTTTGATATGTCATAATATGCTGTATTATGACATAACATAACATAACATAACATAACATAACATAACATAACATAACATAACATAACATAACATAACATAACATAACATAACGGTTACAAGCCGGGGAACCATAACGGTTACAAGCCGGAAGTCTACCGCTGCGTTTTTGTGCTGTACGATATGGGCTGTCGTGTTTACTACCGTGTTGTCATGTATTCTAGAACATGCGTTGAGACTGTTGCGGGGTTTAAGGTTTCGGAAGAGCAGAGCAAGCATGACATCGTCGAGGAGGCGCACCTGGCGAAGCACAAAAACGCAGCGGTAGAGTTACCAACATAACATAACACAACACAACACAACACAACATAACATAACATAACTAACATAACATAACATAACATAACATAACATAACATAACATAACATAACATAACATAACATAACATAACATAACATAACATAACATAACATAACATAACATAACATAACATAATATAATATAACATAGCATAGTAAATTAGGGTCCCTTTTAGGGGTCCTTTTTATAAGGGTGCCGTACCATATTGGGGGCCCAAAAGGGAACTTAATTTAGAGAACTACCCATATACATATACATAAACACAGACACCTGGGAGGAACCTTCAACTCGTCATAGGAACCTTCTTAAGAAACCCTGGGTCTTTATTAGGGTTCTTAATCTGGGTTTAGGGTTTAGGGTTGTTAATATGGCTTTGGGGTTTAGGGTTCTTAATATAGGTTTAGGGTTTAGGGTTAGGGTTATAAGGCCAGGGTTTCTGAATCAGCTTCCTACATTACCAAGAATCATCTGCACAAACTCGTTCGGCTCCAGTGTCTGGCTGTCGTTCTCGTTGAAGATACCCAGCCTGGATTCTGCAACAGCGAGGGTTCAGGGTTCAGGGTTTGGCGTCTAGGGGCCTAGGGTTTAGGGATGCGCGCTTCTTGAAAGATGTCACAGGTCACTTCACCTTGGTCCCAGCAGCAAAAATCGGATCTTTTGCCTCTTGGAGATCGTGGTTGACATGAAGATGCCGGACGAAAGGAAAGCAGGAACAGAGAACTTCACCTTCTTCAAGTCCGTCGCTGACCTCGCAGGAGGCTTTAGGCTTCAGGGTTTAGGCTTTAGGCTTCAGGGTGTAGGGTTTTGAGTTCCGGGTTTAGGCTTCAGGCTTCAGGGTTTAGGGTTTACGGTTTAGGGGTTTCGGATATAAGGTTGAGTAAGGGCTTCAGACTCTTCAAAGTTGATCTGAATCGCTCACGAGCCTCGGCGAGTCTGCTCGTCTGTTTGAGCTTACGGTTTGGGTTTAGGGGTTTGAGGGTTTGGGGGTTTGGGGTTTAGGGTTTAGGGTTTAGGGTTTAGGGGGGTTTAGGGGTTTGGAGGTTTAGGGGTTTGAGGGTTTAGGGGTTTGGGGGTTCAGGGGTTGAGGGGTTTATGAACCGGCCTGGTGCACTCATGCTGAGCATACGCGGCAGGATCGAAGAGCTTGACCCATGCCAGGGTTTTCCTTGCGACGGGCTATTCAAGCTCGCTTTTAGGGTTTAGGGTTCAGCGGTTCAGGGTATAGGGTTAAGCTGAATCGCACCGCACAAGAAAGGATCAGCAAGCGTTGCGTCTGGAAAAACGGACGCTTCTTCTTCCTGTTCACCTATGAAAGGGTCAGTCAGCCAAGCTAAGCAAAGGATCGGCATGGGAACGGAGAGCAATTCTTGCAGCTCGTATGCATCTATGATCCTTGGTCGATCCCGCATGCATAGCTGACACATGCTCGGCATTTCGGTATCATGAAGAAAGGATGGTCCAAGCGCGTGCGGCGACATTCGTTGTCCAACCATAACCCAGAGCCGTGATATATAAACATCAACCGCATAATTGCCTACAATATTCTGGGGTTCCTTATTATAATCACAGTATAATATACCCCAAAACCCTACGTATTCTGATTATTAAGCATGTCTAAGACTGTAAAAAATGTGGCGCACATGGCAAAAAGGCGCCAGGACACTTCGGTGCGCTGCCGGGTTTCCTCAGAGGACGGAGTTTTTCAAGTTGCCTTCTTGTAGGACTGTGCAGCATGTGGGTACTTCTCTAAATTAGGGGTCCCTTTCGGATCCTTTTTAATAAGGGTGCCGTGTTTTGGGGGGACCACAAAGGAACCCTAATTTAGAGAACTACCCATGTGACAATCTGCCATGTACCAGACTGGAAAGGCTTTCAAGAACCCGTACCCTAAACCCTGAACCGTATCTTCCTTTGCTCGGCAGGATTTTACATACCCCCTGCCTTAGACCAAGCGTCCAGGACCCCATGGCTTGCCACCGATTGAAGATTTCGATCTGAGGCAGCCATGGGCAACATCAGATCTCAAGTGGCCATGCAGGACAAACGACCACCCAAGGGTGGGCGGTGTCTGGTCCGGAGTCACCACGTCTACCGCTTAGGGGTTTAGAGGGGTTTAGGGTTGAAAATTGAGGGTTAGCTCGATATCACAAAGCGGGCGCACCCAGTAGTCCATGGAGCGCGTAGAAAGGCCCCTGCTGTCAGCAGGAGGTGTACCGACGAGCACGCGGTTCCAAAGGTCTTCCTCAGCAATCGGACGGAACCGCCCCGACCAGCCAAAAACTTCAGAAAAGCAGGGACCTGAAATAAACATAACTCCGACTCCCTAAACCCCAAACCCTAAACATAACCATGAATAGTAGGAGCCTTGGGAAACTGACGGAGCAAGAAAGGGTGTCCCCAACCTTTTGAAACAGTGTGGCATTTTAGAACTTGTCTTGCACCTTTGTAGAGCCTTTCTTGTACCAGGCATCGAGCCAGTCCAATTGAGGGTCCTCCTCAAAGATATGTGCGGACAGCTCGTCGAGCGATTCGTCCGCAAATGAAAGCTGCCGTTGCAGCTGGCCTATTGTGTTTAGGGTGCAGGTATGCCGGTATACACAGACACAGATATTATGTGCAGCAGGCATGTGGGTATGAGCACATGCACACACTTCCCCATGCAAGCGGACTTCTCCGATGCAGGGGGGAGGCTGGAGGCTCTTTCCCCATGCCCACACATACCACTAAAGCACTACGACAATAATAGGTAGCACCAGTGTTCCTGTAATTGTTAGTCTTTTGACGTTATAAATGTTGCCTCATGACTGTAATTCTCATTACCTTGGCCAGTGCTGATCAGATTGCTGCGCACGACAGGATCAAATCAGATGCACACCCGAAGGCAGGCACAGACAAAGGTTGGAAACGCAGCTAGAGGGCAGGCAGGGACGGACAGGGAGAGGGAAAAGAGAAAGAGCCAGAAGAACAGAAGAGGCACACAGAGATAAACTGACAGAGGGGCACAGTCCGCCGGAGGCGACCGTGGGCAGAGAAAGGATCGCGGAGATGGACCCCAGATGCGAGCACGAACAAGAAGCAGTGCTAGCATAAAGGGGTTACACTCACAAGCATGGACTGCACGAAGCGAAGAAGATCTGAGTAGAGGTTCTGGCATGAAAGCAAAGCAGAACTCTGACAGGTTCTGGACTCGGTCCTGCTGGGATGAGCGACAGGCGTCGAGCACGACCACCGCCCTCCCCCTTCGGGCTCGGACTAGACCTGACAGAGGCTACGAGTTCGGTCCCTCCAGTTGCCCAGAGAACCCAATACACCTTAATTAAGGTGTGAAGCTGTAAGGAAGCTCCGCC